CCCCCCAGCCCCCTTCCGGGTCTCCCGCCCCGCCCCCGGCCCAGCGCTCCCGCCAAAGGCGATTTTTCTAATTCAACATTATAAGGGGTTTGCCTCTTTTTTTTGTCTTTTTTTTTTTTTTTTAATTTTTAGGTTAAATTACTTTGCAGGCCCGAGTGTGTGTAACGCTGGCCCTGCTCGGAAAGTCGGGCGTGTATTCACACCAGGAGACAGAAGGCAAAACAAGCGGGGGGAGCTGTGTCCGTCCTGCGCTGCCCAGGCCACGGAACCCGCCACAGACAGGTAGATAGAGTGAGCGCTTCCCTGTCCAGAGCCTGAAAATAAACTGTATGAAAATAAAAAATAAGAAAAAGTTGTCCTTCAGCAAGCTGCTGTTTGGCCCTGTCAGTTCAGCCTTTGTATTCTTGAGAGTAACAGTGAAAACGGAGCCCGTGTTATCATGTTTGATACTTTATTAGCTGTCTATATTTTGTTATAAATACCTGCGATATTGGAAATGTCACCACTATACTGAAGTAGTAAGTTATTAAAACACATTCTGAAAACAGCATACAGACCAAAATGGCATCTCCTGTCAGATTTACCCCCAGGAGTACTTTTTTTTTTTCTTTCTACCTTTAAGTACTGATATTTGTGGAATAATACTTTGCTTACACGACAAGAGGCAAACTCGGGTTTTTGCTTAGTTTTCCCTAGGGTGCCTTCCATCACTGGAAATACTTTGTTACTTGCTGTTACCTAATTGATACCTAATTGATACTCATTTCCCATTATTCTGCAGGATCAGGAGCGGTCTGGGGGCAGGGCAACCTTACTCAGTGTTTCCCAGCATTGGTCCCTGCTTCACAGGCCCTGGGTGTGCTGAGCACTCTGGCCTGGTCCTGCAAGGCATTTAAATAAGTATTTTATGTCAAAGGTTATAAAATAGTCTTTTAAGACCTGGGTTAGTAAACAACATGGTTAAAGTTCGAGTTCTGGCCCCACTGGAGTAAATGGGGTCGCATCACAGAGCCTGAAGGACAGAGAGTTTCACCTTAAGCATGGGATAAAGATGGGAGTTCAGCACGCTGCAAGGTTCAGCCCTCTATGTCAAAAAAAGGAGAGAAAACAACTGCCCCTCCTGCAAAACGCAAAGAAAAAGAAATCATTTTCCCCTTGCTAAAGCATTCTCCCAGGTTATCAGCGTTTACCTTCTCCAAAGTGAAATCTTGCTGCGTGTCTGCTTCCCCACTGAAGGTATGACCCTTAGTTTAAAAAAAAAAAAAAAAGCACATTTCTGGCTGAGACCTAGTGTTTTCCCAATTAAAAATCCCTCTGTATTCAGCTCTGCAAGCACCCTAAACATAAATGAGCTTCATTGCGGTATGGATCAGCCCTTACACATAGTCTTTATGATTTCTGCTTGTGCTGTAAATAACTATGAAAGTCGCTGTGTTACATTTCCCTTCCTGGCACCCTGATTACAGCCCTGACCTGCTGCCCCACGCTCTGCGCCGAGCCGGCTCTCTGGAGCGGCGGCTTTCAGCCTCAGCAAAACTCCAATTTTTGTTTGCAGCCCCTCTTTTATCAACTACTCGGCTCTGTGTCCCCGTTCTGGAAAAATTAGCCTCGTGTATGAATGTTGTTCTTCTCCAGTTGAGCTTTTTTTTGCCGGAACACACTGTTCTGTGTGTATGGTCCAAACTGCCAGGGCTGCAGGTCACGGTCGTTGCCTCGGGCTAGCAAACCTCAGGCTGGATCACAGCAGCTGGGACTGCAGAGCAGCTGCCCGCCGTTCTGCACCCCCCCACGTGTAATATGGCTTTTCCTCTCTGATTACTTATCCTGTATTAAAATCTGCAAATGCTTATTCTGTGGCTTGGTAAATAACTACCTAAAAAATTTCAAGAAGTTTGTCAGCTGATTTCATTAGTCTTAAAAAAAAAACCCCCAAACCCCACAATATGTATAAACTCGTTATCCTCCCTCAGGAAACAACAGCACCGTTACACGTCACAACGTCTTACAACGCGCCGTGGGCAGATTTGTGTCACTCTTTGTTAAAACCCGTCATGTCAGTCGTCACCTGGAACGCCAGCGCAGCGGCCAGACGAGCCAGCGTTCTCTCGTGACAACCCCCCCACGCGCCCACGGCAAGACAGAACGTGGGAACAGATGAAACTGGAGCGGAACCAAAGCACAAACCAAGCAGAGGTCGTCTACCCTCTAGAAATAATAAAGGAACCACTGGCAAACACTTTTTTCTCTGCGTAGGATCAAACAGCTGGATTCAAAGGCTCCTACAAACCTTGTCCAACACGGCAGCAAACCTACAGCTGGGCCTGGTAACAGCGACTGTAGACAGAGCTCCGGTGGTCAGGGATGGTCCAGACACACCCTCTCCCTTAAATAAATAAACCTTTCAGGGGATTATTTACAAAACTGTTGTAAAGCCAACTCACTGCCTTTGTAGGGAAGGTGAAAGAAATCCTTTATCTGCTGTTTGCTCCTCGTTTTTAAGCCACTTGGGATCTTTTCAAGCCATGGTGGCCAAAAGTGTTCATTTGTTGGAAGACTGAGTCACCAGCCTTGTTTCCTCAGTCGGGTCCGTACAGACACACACTCACAGCGACCAGGTACGACTGCACTGGCAACAGGACACTAAAGAAGGATGTTCCACGCCGCAGAGCACGGGCCCCCGATGCACTCCTACGATAGGGGTGCTCCTGTCCCCCCCAGCTTCCCCCGCCTCTCCCCGTGGCAGCGTCCAAGGCTCAGTGGGGTATCACTTGCCGAAGCGCGTTAGCTCTCGCAGCCAGCCCCGCTCACGGGAACCTTGGCCACGGCGGGGCAGTCGCTCTGGAAACCGTCGAGGTCCTCAGTGGCGGTGGCTCCGGGACCAGCGGTCCCCGTCCCCTGGGGCAGGCAGGCACCCTGGGGACCCCCCGGGCTGCGCCCGCTGCGGGAGCAGTCGTGGTGGCCGTGGTTGCCCAAGCGGCTGGAAGCCACCACAGCTTTCATGGCAGCCTGTTGCAAAGGCACAGCGATTACTGGCCTGCGTCCCCAAGGCGTTTCCGAGGTGCTCGAGCCCCCGGAGGGTGCAGAAGGTGACACGGTGCCCACTCCTGTGGCCATGCCGAGCCAGGGAGCGCAGCCCCTTGCTCGGGAAAGGCTCCTCCCGGCGGCAGCTGCCCCGCGGGGACGTGGCCTTCACCCCCCTGCCCGAGCTGCCGTGTGGGGCTGAACATTTACCTGCTCGGGGCAGGGGAGCCCGAAAACCCAGCGACTGTCTGTGGCCCTGGCCCGTTTGCACAAGAGGACGTAAACACGAGCCACTCCTGGGGGTTATTGGGGCTTTCTCTCCTTACCTTCAGCTTCCGCCTGGCGTTAAATTCCTGCAGTTTCTTCTGCGTGCTGTCCATGTGAGCAAATTTAGCAGCTTTCCCGGTGACCCAGGGATGCTCCAGCGCCTGGTAGACGGTCAGTCTCTTCTGGGGGTCCAGGACGATCAATTTTCTGACCTGTAACCAATTTCAGACCCATGAAAAAGCTTTGTTTGTTAAATACCCCTAGTTCTGTTTTCTTTGCAAGCAGTGAAGCCTTCACGCTGGGCAGCCCCGAGCCCCGGCGTGGCCTCGCTCACCAAATCCTTGGCATTGAGGGAAACCTCATCCCACCACGGGGACACGAACTCGTAGTCGCAGGTGAGGATGCGGCTGTACATGTACTGGTCCCCTCGCGGGTCGAAGAAGGGCTCGAAGCCGCAGAGCCTGCGGGAGAGAGGAGCTACACGCCACCACCCGGGCCCCGCCGGGGGCCGAGCTGCAGCGAAGCGTCTCACCGCCGCGGTTTCACCGCCCGCGGGGCACCGGTGCCGTTACTCACAGGATGTAGGTGATGACGCCCACGGACCACATATCCACCTCTGGGCCGTACGGGCACCCGTGGAGGATTTCGGGGGCTGGAAGCACAGTTTGGGGTTCAGACGAACGGATGTGGGGAGCTCCCACCGGCACGGCCATGGGGGTAACCTCATGGCAGAGGAAACCTCCGGGTGCCAGCAGCGTCTCCCAGGCCCGGTGCAGCTGTCGGCCATCCCTGCACCGAGCTGTGCGTGGCCTCAGGCAGGGAGCAGCCTCCCCGGGTCTCCCTCCTGCCCCCCAGCTCTTCCCTCCCGCTCACCGCAGTACCCCGGCGTCCCGCAGACAGTTTTCATGGTGTCCTGTTCATCCACGATCTTGGAGAGCCCGAAGTCACCTTGGAGGGACAGAGAGGGGAGCAGCGCTGCCATCAGGGAGAGGTACCACTGACCCCCCTCCTGCCATGACCCCCCCTCCCGGGGGCTCCCAGCAAACTCACCGATTTTAAGGGGAGCGTCGGGGGACAGGTCTGCGTAGAGCAGGTTCTCTGGCTTCAGGTCACGGTGGACGACCCCGTTTTCATGCAGATACTGCCGAGAGAGACAGTGGGGAGGTGGGGGTGGCGGGGAAGCCCCATCTGCCTCAGACAGAATTCGGGAGGAGGCGGCAGCGATCGGGGACCCGGCACAAACACGGGACCAACTTGTGCGACTGCTCCTTCGGAAACACCCAACACCTGCAGCGCCAGAGCTGCCAGCGCGGCCACGGGGGCACGGGAAGGACATTTCCCCTTATGAGTTTTCATTTCTAAACCCTCCCGTTGCCATAGAAACCCCATCTCCAGCAGACCTGTGATGCAGAGCAGCGCTGACCTTCCTCCCTCATCTCCCTCCTCCCCCCAAAACGCGGATTGGAAGAGGCACCTCTGCCAGCCAAGGGCGAGTAAGCAAATGCCTTTCTCCTGGGATATCTGGGGTGGGTGCAGCTCTGGGTGCCTCTTCCTTGGGATATTTGGGATGGGTACAGCACCCAATGCCTCTCCCCAGGGATATTTGGGATGGGTACAGCACCCAATGCCTCTCCCCAGGGGTATTTGGGATGGGTGCAGCACCTAATGCCTCTCCCCAGGGGTATTTGGGATGGGTGCAGCACCCAATGCCTCTCCTCGGGGGTATTTGGGATGGGTGCAGCACCCAATGCCTCTCCCCGGGGGTATTTGGGATGGGTGCAGCACCCAATGCCTCTCCCCAGGGGTATTTGGGATGGGTGCAGCACCCAATACCTCTCCCCGGGGGTATTTTGGGAGTGTGCAGCCCCCGCAGTGACACCCCCTGACCCACACAGGGCCCATCCCCAGGGGCTGCAGCAGCGGGGGTGTGGACATTACCGAAACAGCTTCCAGGATCTGCTTGACGACGTGGGCCGCGTCCCGCTCGCTGTAGAACCCCCTCTCCACGATCCTGCGGGCACACGGGGTCAGTGCGGCAGCGCCCTGCCCCGCACAGACCCCCCTCACCCTCCATCCCCCAGCCCACTCCATCCTCACCCGGTGGGACCCGTCCCCCCTCCCCAGGAGTGGGGGGGGGATCGCGGGGCCGGGGGTACCTGTCGAAGAGCTCTCCTCCCGTCACCAGCTCCAGGACGAGCGCGATCTCCGAGGGTGTCTCAAAAATCTCCTTCAGCTTGATCTGGAAGGGGCGACAGGAGGGGTGCAGAGGCGGAGGCCGCTGCACCGGGAGGAGCGCGGCCGCCGGCTGTGAGGGTTTATCGGGGCAGCCTTCCCTCCTTGCCTTTTTACTGAGTTGAACGTGATTTTTTTTCTTTTCCGGATTTTGTTTTTAAACTGTTTGCAACAGCCCTGCTCACTTAATCATGCATTAAAGACGATGCTGGGGATGGGAAGAGATGGGCACGCGGCGCCTTTATCCTCTTCACGCCTCCAAGCTTGTTAACTGGAAGAGGAGCTCACCGACAGCTTTTTAATTTCGCAGCTTCAGCGACTGCGCTGGCACCTCGGGTGCCTCCATCCACCCCTGTGGCGGGGGAGCGACCCTAGCAAAGCCCTGCCTGTGCCCCTCCCGGGATTGATCCTGCACATCTGCACCTGCAGGCGACACACGGAGCCCCGAGGGGCCAAGGCCACCTCTGGGACCCCACGGGCGCTTTTGGAAACGTCCCTCGGACCATTTCACAGCAGAAGAGGCACTAAAGAAACTGTTTTTCTCCTGATTTTTGTTTTTTAACTCCCACACAAGATGAGCTTGTCTGCGTGAGACCTTTGTGCCACTGCAGCGAATCTAGAATTAACAGGTCTCTCTTAAGACTATGTCAAAATGCAAATTTTTTTATTTTTTTAATGGAAAACAGAGAATTTCATGCTTCTTAAGACTTTTGTGACACTGCGAATTTCATGGGGCTTTAATCATTACCTTCATAGGCTGGGTGACAAGCCGTGATACCCCGCAGGGTGAGAGACACTATGTGGCAGCTTATTGCATTATAATAATACACGGAAGCACTATAATTTTCCTATTAACTTCAAAAGTTTACAATCCTATTATCATCCACTGTTGAGGTTGGTGCTGAACGATAGCGCGCACCAGCGTAAATAATGAAATGGAGCATCTCTTCACAAATCACTTGAACTTGGGAGTGAGCAGATCCCTACAGAAAACTCAAGTGATTTAAATATTCCGACTGGCCAGGCGGTGCCTCCTGCACGGCTCTGCGGTGCTGCTGCCTGGAGAGCACCGGAGGAGGGAGGCAGAAATCGAGTTTTCTGTTGCGTTTCTGATACCACATCAGAGAGGAGCTTCTCCCCGTCCATGGCTGATGCCACCTGGGGCCACTCCGAGCGGGTGATCCCCACCCTGAAGGTTGTCCCTGCTCTGCCCAAATGTCCCAAGATGGGGAGGCATCTCCATGGAAACGGCTGAAGCGCCTGGATGCCCCAAAACGCTGCAACACCCCAGTGCTCAAGGCAGGCCCACGCCGAGTGGGCCCAGGGGCTGAGGGATGCCCCGGCTCTGGCGTGTTTGCCCCCATCATCCTCATTGTTAGGATGTTTGGGACTTCTCTGAGCTTTGTCTCTTTGTGTCAAGGTGGTGGGTGGGCAGGACATCCCCACTTGGGCTCCTCCAGAGAGCAAAACCTTATCACTCCGGGGATGGTTGGCATGGACTGGCCTGGAAGCAGCCGTGCCCAGGGCTCTGGGTGATGCTGCAAGGAAAGTGGCAGCTTGGGCAGCAGCAGCCAGTGGCAAGCAGGTGTCTGGGTGGTGGCCCAGCGAGATGCTGGCCACGAAATCCACTGGAGCGGGGTCTGTTGCCGAGCCAGCGCCCAGCACCGCGGTGGCAGCAGCTGCCAGGTGGCTTTTTGTGTTATTTCTTTTAACTCAGGTCGACTCTGAGATGCTTTTCCAATTTGCTGGTGGAACTAAGCAGCCTGGAATAAGCCTTTCTGGCAGGTGGAGGGACAGGGGGTGCGGAGCCCCCGAGCCCCCTGCCACTGCAGAGGGGCCGACACGGTGGCCCCGGCTCTGCTGACACCGGCGGAGATTAGATCCGCTCCTGGGCGTTGCAAATCGTTGGGGCTGAGCCGCCGTTATCCCCCGAGCGCTGAGCAAGAGAAACAGCGACTGGCTGCGCCGGGACGCAGCGCCCAGCACCCGCGGTCCCGGCCCTGCCTTTTATCTCCCCTTGCAGGATTCATTACAGATGGGCAATTTTCTGTGGTATTCATTTGATCTCCTCGATGGAAATTGCTTACCGAATGGAAATCTCAGGCCAGGGAACAGGGGGGGAGGACGGGGCGGGGGGGGCCGTGCTGGCCCTCGATATTGGAGCTGGGAGGCTCAAAAGCGCTGCAGGGACCAGGAGTTTCATGCGGCAGCAAGTGGGGGGTCGCAGTGCCGCAGGCAGCGCCGGGCATCTGGAGCCCATCTGCCAGGCAGGGAGGGGACAGGGGGTGCAGGCAGGGTGTCCCGTGGGGTGCGGGACTCATCCTGCCCCGAGGCAGGAGGAGGAGAAGGACACCCCAGCCCCTCCCTGAGCTTCCTAGGGGCCCCGGCACGGAGGGAGCTG